CTAGCACAGTGCGCCACCGGGCCGGCCTTTTTCTTTTTTTTTTTTTTTTTGACCTTGGGCATATTTTAATTACCATTGAACCTCAGTTTTCTCATCTGTGAAACGGTGATAACAAGATTGTATCAAGCTTTATGATGTATTATGAAAACTAAATGAGATTAGTCATTCAGCAAATATTTATTGAGAACCTACCCTATACAAGGTGTGCTACTCAGAGCTGAGGATACAAAGTTGACCAAAACAGACCTCGCCCTTGCTCTCACGGAGCACACTGTCTAATGGTATCTATAATTTAATAGGAGAAAGTGCTCATTAAATGTTAGCCATTATTATTAGTAATTGTAGTACTAGTAACTTGAAATCAGTTTTCCCTTCCTGGAAGCCTAGTGTGTTTTTGTGACCTAATGGAGGGGAGATTCCCAGCTAATAGACTTGGAAATTTAATTGGTAGGATCTCACACTTTTTGTTGCTGTCAAGTTCTTGGCGGTACCTGCTTCTCTTTGGCTTTTGTTACATATTTCAGCCAAAAAGAAGGGGCAGCTGCTGTGGAGTTTGCTTAATTAGTGCCAGCCCAATGTTACCTGTGATATTAAGGCTGTGAGAAAGCAAAAGACAAAAAACCAACAAGACCTCCTGGAAGAGCACCTCAATTTGGTATATGAGGGATTACAATGGCAGATTTTTGCATGTCAGCGGGTAATTCCCATTAACCACATGCGTGTCTATAATCAAGCATAGCAATCGCTTCTTTAGGACTTATCACCCTTGAATCAAACTCAGCAATGAATTATTTTACTACAAAAGATTCTGCCGGATAGAATCTTAGCTCTGCACTTGTATGCTCAGACATCACAAAGGTCATTCAGGATTATTTAGACTGTTTTAAGAGTTCCTTATAGACACGAAGTCAGGATCAAACGAAGAGTTATGTAGTTCCATCTCTCAAAGGTCTGTGTTCCACAGCAATCAGATATTTTGCATCTTCAGTACCAAATCCACTATGAGATTGGCTAGACATGCTGTCTAAATGGATCTGCTCAGTTGATCATGGAGTAATTGTACAGCTAATGGGCAAGGAGGCGGGGGAAAGGCAGACATGGAAAAGTTGGGTGCTTAAGTGAAGTGATGGTCCTAATGCATCACCTCTGCAAATAAAAGGGCTTCCAGAAAAAAGCACTCTGCTTTCTGCTGACAGAGCTCTCTGCCACTATACTAATCCTTACTTTGTCAGGCACATATTTATATAGTATGTATTATCAGGCAAAATATCCTTAAAGATATATGTTGATGATGTATGCAAAACATACTAGCTCTCTGTGTGATCTTAGTCAGACCATTAGCCTCTGTGGGTATGTTGCTTGTGAACATTCTCATCTGAAAGGACCAGATGATGAGTTGGATACGGATGGTAGCCGTGGACCTGGAGTCAGAAGCTGTAGGACTAGAGCTGTAACCGGTAGTGTTAGGCAAGTTACTTAACTTCTCTAGGGTTCAATTTCCTCTTTTGATTAAGGGAGAGCCCCTATGTTATAGTATTTTAGTGAGGAGTATCAAATGAGAAAATGCTTTGTAAAACACAGAGAACTATGCAAATGTCAGCAGTTATGCTACTTATTTCTACAATCCTTTCTCGTCTGAGAGGCTGTCAGTGGGGAGATTTCAGTGACGACGAAATCTGTCCATTGCCAGGTGGTTTAGAAGGCACACCGCAGAGGCAGAGTGTCTCTCATCTCCTTTCAAGTCGTGTAACTGAGGCAGGTTCACCCTTCTGTGCCTCAGTACCCTTGTGCGTAAAATAAGGCTTTTAACAGGACTTACCTCATAGATTTGAAATGAGGACTAAATGAGATCATGCACATCAAGTCCTGGCATGGCACCTGACACCCGGTAAGACTCAGTCATTCTTAGCCACCTGTCACGATGACACGTACCACTGTTAATGATAGATGACCAATGAAGATTAAATTTCCTTTTTTTATTAAGTTTATTTTTTGGATAACAATTTTATTTCTAATTGTTGTAAGATACACATAACATAAAATTCACTATCTTAACCATTTTTATGTTTAGTAGTGAAATACATTCTCATTGCTATCCAACCAATCCCCAGAAGGAAACTGAAACTCTGTGCCCATAAACACTAACTCCCTATCCAACCTCCTGGCAGCCACCATTCTACTTTCTGTCTCTGTGAATTTGACTTTTTCTTTTTAAGTGGAGTCATGCAGTATTTGTCCTTCTGTGACTAGCTTATTTCTTTAGCATAATGTCCTCAAGGTTCATCCACGTTGTAGCATGTGTCAACATTTTCTAACCTTTTTTGTGGTGGGGAGGGGCAGCTGGCCAGTATGGGGATCTGCCCTTGACCTTGGTGTTATCAGCAAAACTTTTTTTCCTTTTTAAGCCTGGATAATACTCCATTCTATGTATGTACAAGTACAGTGCTTTGATGGACATTTGAGTAGCTTCTATCTTTTGGCTATTGTGAATAATGTTGCTGTAAGCACAAGTGTGCAAATATCTCTTTATGTTACTTTTATTGTATAAAGCAATGACTTATGTGTGTAAACACGTATAGACCACGGTTCTCTAGCCCTGTACGTTAAGCTCTCCCGAAGGCGGTGAATCCATGTTGCGGCTCTGTGGGAACGTTGGCAGTGAAGCCAGCGTATTGAGCAGCAGGGACAGGGCGTGGTTCCCCGTTGTCTGGTCAAGCCTGCCGTATGGGGCTAGTTCATTCCCTGCTGTTGAATGAAATTCATGCTAGCTCCCTCTCACTCTCAGTTAATATCTGGTCCCTCTAAAATACATATTTTTTAATTCCTCTGATCACTTCCAGTCACAGGAATAGCTTCATTTGAGTAAAGAGTGTGTATCCAGTCTTATATAAAAATCAGAAACTCCAAATCTCATTCATATTTAAGCCCCTCCCTCCCCCACCCCTTGGGCCTCCTCTGGCCAACAGTGGGAAGGAGAAGATGGCTTCTTCTGCATTGCTCTTGTCTTACACATAGGATCCCTCTGCCCCTCCAGAGTTGAAGGAAACTCCAAATCTCATTCATATTTAAGCCCCTCCCTCCCCCACCCCTTGGGCCTCCTCTGGCCAACAGTGGGAAGGAGAAGGTGGCTTCTTCTGCATTGCTCTTGTCTTACACATAGGATCCCTCTGCCCCTCCAGAGTTGAAGATCGTACCCATCCAGCTTCTTCCTGCTGAAGTCCCCACACTCTTGGCAGAAGCCATCTAAGCAGTATCCCTTTTAGATGATCGTACCACTGGTTCCACACCTGGTCTTTAGGCACCACAGACCTTTGACCTCTGGCAGGGGATACATATTGAGCCTTTCAAATGGTCTTCGGGCCCCTTGTTCACTATCTCAAGAAAAGGGGGAAGCAACTTGCATTCTTCTCACTGGGTGGTGGGAGGGGAGTTGGATTTGGCACATTGATAACTGTCCTTGAAGGAGTCATTTCCTGGCTTCAACCTGTTTAGAAGGCACACCGCAGAGGCAGAGTGTCTCTCATCTCCTTTCAAGTCGTGTAACTGAGGCAGGTTCACCCTTCTGTGCCTCAGTACCCTTGTGCGTAAAATAAGGCTTTTAACAGGACTTACCTCATAGATTTGAAATGAGGACTAAATGAGATCATGCACATCAAGTCCTGGCATGGCACCTGACACCCGGTAAGACTCAGTCATTCTTAGCCACCTGTCACGATGACACGTACCACTGTTAATGATAGATGACCAATGAAGATTAAATTTCCTTTTTTTATTAAGTTTATTTTTTGGATAACAATTTTATTTCTAATTGTTGTAAGATACACATAACATAAAATTCACTATCTTAACCATTTTTATGTTTAGTAGTGAAATACATTCTCATTGCTATCCAACCAATCCCCAGAAGGAAACTGAAACTCTGTGCCCATAAACACTAACATCTGTAGAAGCTAAATGCAACAGGCATAGGTTAATCTGAAGTCTGAGGAGGAACTTAGGTTCTTAAAAAAACTGTCATTTATAGGAGACTATCTTTATGACCTCAAGATAGGTAAGGATCCCTTAAGATATAAAAAGCTCAAATTAAAGAGGAAAAGATTGATAATTTGGGTTGTATTAAAACATAACGGATATGATAAAAGATACAAGGTTAAAAGAAAAATTACAGATCAGGAGAAAA